GACTTTTGCTCTTTTTGATTTACATCATTGACATAGATGAAATGATAGTCAATAAATTACTTAAACTTGCAGAGGATATTAAGGTCTCGGGTGTTGCTGGCTGTGATTAGGATGCTGCTGATTTACAAAAGGATTTAGATCATTTAGTGAATTGGCCAATTAAATGGCAGATGGGTTTTAATTATAATAAATGCAAAATAATGCATGTGGGTTGTCATAATTTGAATTATAAGTATAATTTGGATGGGAATAACCTTAATAGTGTTATGAAGGAAAGGGATCTTGGTGTTATAGTTGATCAGTCTCTAAAGCCATCCAAGCAGTGTGCTATTGCTAGTGGTTGAGCAAATAGGATTTTAGGTTGTATCCATAGAAATATTGAATACAAGTCTAAAAAGGTTATACTTTCATTGTACAGGTCACTGGTTAGACCACATCTGGAATATTGCATTCAGTCTTTGGCTCATTATATTAGGAAGGACATTGAATTGTTGGAAAGGGTTCATAGAAGGGTTCCTAGGATGGAGGGGTTGTCATACGACAAGAGGCTTAAATCTCTCAAATTGTTTTCACTCGAAAAAAGAAGAGTTAGGGGGATCTGATTGAGGTGTTTAAGATTGTAAGGGGCATTGATGTATCACCTTTTTTTTATATTTAACAATGAGAATAGTAGGACTAGGGAACACAAATATAAATTTGGCAAGGTAGGAGTCATCTTCAGCTACAACAGTTTTATTTTTCTAACAGGGTGGTTGGCCTTTGGAATGGGTTGCCTTCAGATGTTGTAGAGGCAGTAAACTTAAGTGAGTTTGAGAAAAACCTTGTTAAGTATATGAATGAAAAGGGCCGAGTTTAAAATTTTTTTAATCATTTTAATTTAGTTTTGATGATAGAACAGCCAAGATGGGCCAATAGGTCCCAAAATATTATGTTATGATATTATAATACTGTATGTTGCAATTACACTATTAAGTTACAGGTACAAAGGAGATCAAGTCAGAAAAATATAAGTAATATCTTACTTTCAGGAACTGGTTTATAAGAAAAAGTAAATTTTTATAGAATTCTATAAAGCTACAAATAAACTCAAACATTTAGGCTGTTACCACAATTGTTGTAAAGAACTAACCGAAAAATAAGGAACAAAGTCACTGAATTTCTATGTAAAATACAAGAATGGAAGCAATAATTAGTGGAATTCATTTA